GTATTTTTCTATTTTTTTTTATAAAAATTAATAAAGAAAAAAAAAAACTAGTTGTGTATTTCTATTAATTTATTTCTTTGGAGTTTTATTTCATTTTTAGTATAAAATTTGTTGAGATATGGTTGATTGAACAAAACACCTTACCAACAAATGGTAACTCCGAAAGGGTCTATTCATAATTATAACAACACTTTATCGATGATATATGTAAGTGCAGAACTCAAAACAATAAACGAGACAAAGTATTTGGTGATCCGGCACGGTTATAAGTCGATTTACATCCAGAAGATTTCAATTCAAGAGAAGTTCTAATATAATCACTCTTATTACAAAACTAAATAACCACAAATTCTTCAACTCAACATCCTATCTTGATCAATCTTAGAAAAGTTCACATTGTCACGAATACATGACCATATAGATGAACTGCTCAGAATTTGATCATCTCATTCGATTGGAAATTTTTAACTTAAATCTCCGTCGTATTTTAGTGTTAAACACTCATTCAAACTACAGAGAAGAGATGAACAGAGGGTGAAAGCGTTACACAATAATTTTCTCTCTAACAATACACTCTCAAATTCAATTGCAGACATTCTGCATGCCTCTCCAGTTGTGTATAAACATATGCAGCAGGTTTAAAAATAATTCCTCGTAAATTTTCTTTGCATTGAAATAAAATGGAGTGAGTAATTATACATCTGAATATTTTGACATTTCTTAAAATAATCAGTTTTGTCTATTGTAAAGATTCTAAATAATAGACAAATTGAATAGAGATAAACAATCTCCAAACATATTGTATGATTGTAGTAGCAGTCTGTCTGCAATAGATGATTGATCAAAATAGAATAACTTACTGCAGTAAGTTATTCTAAAAAATAATTTCTCATAAATTTTGTTTGCACTGAAATAAAGTGGAGTGAGTACTTATACACCTGACATGTTTTGACATTTCCTAAATCACCAATTTTGCCTCTTGTAAGGACTCTAAAAAATAGACAAATTGAATAGAGACAATAAATCTTCAAATCTACTGTAGGATTGCAGTAGCCTGATTGCTCAAAATAAAATAACTTACTGCAGTAAGTTATTCTAAAAAATAATTTCTCATAAATTCTCTTTGCATGAAATAAAATGGAGTGAGTATTTATATATCTGACATGTTTTGACATTTCCTAAATCACCAATTTTGTCTCTTGTAAAGACTCTAAAAAATAGACAAATTGAATAGAGGCAAACAATCTTCAAACCTACTGTAGGATTGCAATAGCCTGATTGCTCAAAATAAAATAACTTACTGCAGTAACTTATTCTAAAAGTAATACCTCATAAATTTTCTTTGCACTGAAATAAAGTGGAGTGAGTATTTATACACCTGACATATTTTGACATTTCCTAAATCACCAATTTTGTCTCTTGTAAAGACTCTAAAAAATAGACAAATTGAATAGAGACAAACAATTTCCAAACCTATTGTATGATTGCAGTAGCAGTCTGTCTGCAACAGATGATTGCTCAAAATAGAATAACATACTGCAGTAAGTTATTATAACAAATCATTTCTCATAAATTTTCTTTGCACTGAAATAAAGTGGAATAGGTACACCTGACATGCTTTGACATTTCCTAAATTTTTTGTAAAGATTCTAAAGAATAGACAAATTGAATAGAGACAAACAATTTTCAAACATATTTTAAGATTGCAGTAACAGTCTATCTGCAACCGATAATTGCTCAACGTATTGCAAAAAGTTATTCTAAAAATAATTTCTCATAAATTTTGTTTGCACTGAAATAAAGTGGAGTGAGTATTTATACATCAGACATGCTTTAACATTTCTTAAATCACCAATTTTGTTTCTTGTAAAGACTCTAAATAATAGACAAATTGAATAGGGACAAACAATCTCCAAACCTATTGTAGAATTACAGTAACAGTCTGTCTTGCTTAAAATAGAATAACTTATTGCAGTAAATTATTTTAAAAATAATTCTCATAAATTCTTTTTGCACCGAAATGAAGCTAAGTGAGTATTTATACACCTGACACCGCTTCGATATTTCCTAAATCTCACAAGTTTTGTTTTTTTTGTAAAGACTCTAAAGAATAGATAAATTGAACATAGACAAACAATCTTCAAATCTATTGTACGATTGCAGTAGTAGCAGTCTGTTTGCAACATATGATTGCTCAAAATAGAATAACTTAAAATAATTTCTCATAAATTCTCTTTGCACTGAAATGAACAAAATGGAGTGAGTATTTATACACCTGACATGCTTTAACATTTCCTAAATCATCAGTTTTATCTCTTGTAAAGACTACAGAGACAAACAACCTCGGCAATTGCAGTCTATCAGTAACAGATGATTGTTCAAAATATAATAACTTAATGCATCCATAAGTCAAAATAAACAAACCGGTTTTTTCATTCACAAAATCAAACTCTTACACAAAATATCAAATTGAAAAGACAATCAAACATATAACCTAGGTTATCAAACACAAAAGACTGACTGACTGACTTATATATATATATATATATAGATACACACAGATGTATCTAATTTCAACGCTGCATTTCTGGTATCATTGATTGGTTAGTGGGATTAGGGTTTATATATATAATAATATTCTCTCTCGAATTCAATTTGTTGAGAAATAAATGGTAACGTCAATTAGTTAATTAATTAATTAAACAGCTAATTCAATTAGTGAATTAATTGATTGCAATTTATTTGGAGCTGGCAACCATCATTCAACAGTTGTTAACAGAATATTAATTAAATATCTAAAGCTATATATATACATATATCATTAATTAATTTATTCAAGAGGTTTGGTTTATTAATTTATTTTGAATTGTCAATGACAAATCTTTCTGTCCGTTTTTAATTTAATTATAGTATTATTTATCTTTACTATACATACATACATACAAGTGTCTTTACATGGTTTTGAGTACTAATCCCAAACAGAAAACTTAGAAATTAATTACAACATATATAACTAATCAAATGGACGAGTAAACAGATAATATTGATTATTGAGTTGAAATTTTTTAAATAAAGAAGGATTCCAACATTCAGGGATGAACATTGTAATAATTTAATTTATGTGACAACAATATCTATAAATATATTCTGTTTGGGGATAATTAAATTCTCGGACCAAAAAGTGACCTAATTATATTATTATTCAAAATACTCAAAAGGGCTGGGCTACACATATTAATATATCAGTCTTAGAATTCTGCAGAAACTTTTATATTTGGAAAATTCATTTAAAAAAATAAAAAAAAAATTAAAGTATAACAGCTTCTAGTGTGTGACATTAATGATGATACATCAGATGTTAATTAATCATACATTTTTTTTTTTCCCAAACAAAAGGACATACTGTTGTAATAAATAGACAACAGAATGATTAAGTAACACGACAATGTATAAAAATCTATAATTATATATTTATACACATAGATTCTTCAGATTAAACTTGTTGCAAAATGATAACAATATTAAAAAATTATGTGTGTATTTGTAAAGGGTTGCTTATTAATGAATTTATTCCGTACCGTAAATAAAATAAATACCTGTTGAAATATATTAATTAAATTAAATTAAGTCATTATAAAGAGAGTGGTGAAAGAGGGGTTAGGGTTTTTGCCCGACATACTAATTACATAATGTGTCTGATCTGCCACTTATGATTAAAACAGCAAACACTGATTCTCATTGTACTTTGAAAATAATAATAATAATAATAATGATATTCCACAATTTAATTGGCGATTTTATAAGTGATTGATTGATTCTATTCATTTCTGGGAAGGAAAATTATATATATATATATATAATGTTGGGACTGGGTCAACTCATATTGTCCGTTTTGTCTGAGCCCGCACTGATTATTCTTCAAAATGCCTCGTTACTAGTGAAGTTTACTTGGGACTTATGGTGTGTAATTTTTTTCGTCACTTTCAATGTGGGACTTGGGTTTGCACCCAACATATAATTTTTTTTATTTTTTTTTTTTGGCTACTTCAAATCATCATAATTAATTATCTTCAAATTTATTGAATGTGTCTGCTGATGTGCAATGAAAACCGAGCTGAGCTTGAGCGTCGTCATCAAAATAGATAAATAGTCAAAGGATCTGTAACAGATGAGTTTTTCGTGACGCTAATGTCGGAATCAACAATTAATAAGGAAATAGTATATGGAAATGGTCAATTTTGTGTTTTTGTGATGAAGACAATATAATCAATTGTGTATTATCAAAGACTTGTTAAATCAAAATCTATTAGTTTATTAAGTTTGGCTGGGAATTTATCTGCTTCACTCACTAATAGTAGCATAAATCTATTTATTTTTGGTCAGTAAGAGAATGCATATTAGGGACCATGAATCATAAATTTAAATATTTTGAAGTATTTGAGTTTTATTTGTCACAGCTTAGTTCAATTTATTTGGTTGGAGTTGTCACGTTATATTAAAAATTATTTTTATATATCTTCTATTTATATCATATAAAATAATTATTTTCATTTAATATTTTGTTTTACGGAACCCCAAGACTAACTTTAAAACTCACAAACAAACCCATCTTAAAGTATTTCTTTTGAAACAAATGAATAATAAATTAAGAAAATAAATTAAAATCACAAAATATTAAATAAAAAGCAAAAAAAATAGTTTAATCTGATGTGGGCCTAAGCCCAACTAATTTAAGGCCCAATACTCTTTGGAGCGTTTATTTTATTTTAATATGTATTTTGTTGTTTTGAATTGAAGTAATATAAGCATTGAACCTAATGTTTGTAAATGATAGATTTAATATTAATATCAAAATTAACAATGCTTTTTGATTATTCGTTTGTATAAAAAATAAAAAAAATAAAATATAAGTACAGAACAAGTTTCGTCGTACTAGATGCAACAGTGTCGTAATTCTTTGTGTATTAATAATGCTAAATTGCTAATGCACATAATTGTGAAAAATTTTGGTCTCTTACTATAATATAAAAAGAAAACAGAGCAACCATACACTGTACTGTATAAAAAACACCCTAAATTTCCAAAAACAACTATCACCAAAATAATTGGAACTATCATACATCTCAATAATAATAATAATAACAATAATAACGTAACGTAATTCAACCAAACCATCAACACAACCGTAGCAAAACTGGTCCGACCGACGAGCTCAGCATCTCGCTCAGGGCAACCTGGATCTCCAGCGACCCGTGCTCGCAGCTTATCAACGTCGAAACCATCGGCAAAAACGTTGACAGGTTCTTCTCGAACGAACCCGCTCCCAAGCTACATATCGCCTGTAACGTCGCCACCACAAGAGGCGCCCGGGCACCCAATTCCCTACGTTTCCCCGAACTCAACGGGATCGTCAGGCGATGATTCCCGTTGCCCGACGACGACGGTGATGTCGACTCAGGCACCTGTTCTTGTTCCTGTCCCTGTCCGACAGCTGCCACTTCAATGTACGACTGTAAAATTTCCCGACAAAGATTGACGAGGTACGATTCCATTTCGGGCTCTTCGAAGCTCGACATCCGGTTGAGGGCGAGGTTCTGTACAAACGTCAAGCAGATTTGGTACGACTCGTTCTCGAGGCGAAGCAGCGGAGGGTCCTGCATTTGCGTTATCGGCCCAAGTTCCTGCAGCTTCATCCGCAGGGCGGCGTCGGTGTTTATCTTGTGGGCATGCAGCGCAACGGTGTGCACCGCGTCAAATATCGTCGATACGTTTTCCGGGGATAGTTGAGATTGGTACATGTTGTAAATCTCCAATACAGCCTGTAATATTTATGAGCAGCAGCAGATGCATAAGAAAGAATCAATGGAACCTGAGGTGCACAAAAATGTCGATCATTTTTACTGACCTGGACTAACAAAAGTTGAATGGAGGATCGACATTTGGCGTCCGATATAGCAGAATACAGCTGATGTCGCCTCGAATTATTGTCTGCATCTTCATCAGCTGTGTTCTCATTCGAATCTTCTTCCCGGCTCCATATCCTGTCCTCGTCAAGAACGAACGAGAAGTCCGGGAGTGTTTCATTGGCTGCTTCGTTGAGAGACGAGACCACCTCAGACCACTTTTCTTCAGAAAACATCTCCCCGGCATTGCTCATCAGTCGAACGAAAGCAGCAATGCCAATGCCGGCTAGGCTCTGGTGGGGGCGTTTAATGAAACTCACCAATAAAGCTAACACTTTCTTTAGAAGGGGATTTACGGTGTCATAGAAATTGACGAAGAGATCAACAACCAGTTGTAGAGCCAGCGTGCACGTCTCATAAAGCCAAGCATCTTGGTCGAGCTCTTCCACATCACCATTGGCAATGCGATTGTTGGAGTTATCACGGGAGGGTTCAATGGCACGACGGGCATCATCAAAGATTCTAAACAGGACCGATTCGAACACTTTTTCCCACAACAATAGGGAGAAATGTTGGCCGTAGTTTCGTAAAGTATCGAAAAGCACTTGCAGGGCACTCTGCCTGATTTCAGGCCTTGGATCAAAGCTCAGTTCCGATAAACCTGATGGAGATAGAGGTGAATGAATGAGTGAGATTTGTGTTATGCCGTTGTATGGCCAGATTGAATAAAAAGGTTACGGTACAGAAAATGAAACAATACCTGCCAAGAGAGGAAACCATAAATAAAGATGGTCCACCTTATCTTTCGCATCACCAGTGTCTATGTTTTTTTCTTTCTCCTTTTGAGGCGATGGGGGTGGCAAATTTTCCTTGCCTAGATCGCCTTCAGCAAGCTTTGCAGCGCAGAATCGAAGGAACCCAATGGCATTAAGGCTAATGTCTTTGCTGAACCTCGTATTTGTGAAAGCAATAAGACAATTTACACAATCCGTGAATGTGGTTGTCTCTGTTTCAGTGATGTACGGGAAATAATCACGCACTATCTTCTCGATTATTTCAAAGGCGAGAAGAACAATATTCCTGTGGTCATCGTACGCGGCTGTTGTGAAAACCTGAAATTTTAACAATTAGAAGATAGCATGTGAAACTGGATCCTTTTAGTTCAATGAAACAAAAGAAGAAACTCCGTACTCAGGGAAGAGTTTACTACCATAAACATGCTCTTCCATCCGGATTTAACATTATTGACTCTAGCTAGCACCATCTGAGAAAAGCATCTGATAATCAATTCTCTTATTTCAACAGCACTGCTCTTGCGCATCACTACAACAAAAGGCTTCATGAACTCATTCTGGAAATTATAATTGGCCAACTCTTCCCTCTCCAAGAACTTCATTGATAACTGGCGTAAGGAATCCATAGCAAATATTGCAATAGAAAGGTTCTCTGAGCAGCCAATATTTACAAAAAATTCTGACAGTACTTGCCAAATTCTCGACCACACAAGCCTTATGCGATTCATGTTGTAGTGCCTGTTCAAACGGAGGGAATAGAAACCATACTTAGCACGGACCACAACAAGAAAAGATATATGAAATGTAATGAAATCTAAAGAAGTAATTAAAGAAAAACTCAAACACCACATACGCAATCTCGACAATCTTTGTGAGGCTGAAAACCCGTGGATCTGATGTAGATCGTAGCTCCTCCATAGAGACCTTGCAAAGAGCCTTCACAAATTCAACGATTGCCTCACTATTTAGCTTCTGGCTACGTATGAATATTCGGTTCACTTCACCAACTTGCTCCAGCATGTGTAGGTTAGCGACTAAGTTGTTTATCTGTTCAGATGTAATCCCAGCAGCCACATTACCACCAATTCCGGCGCTGTCATATGAACCCCTCTGCACATGAGAAGCTGCATTTTGAATCTTCCCAGGCCCCTTTCTAATCAGGACAGGAAGAGTATTTGATCTGGTATGCTTGGATTTGTCTTCATTCTGAGGAGCTGCAAAGAAAGTGGCATCGAGAGGAGCACCCTCGCCCAACAGATGCAAGTGTTCAAACCGGGAAACACATGTCAAAATATGTTCCCAGGCCTCTTGTAAGTAATTCCCATCCTCATCCGCTATAGCAACAATAGCCTGTTTGTGCAAGTGACGAACATATCGGTGTTGTTCAGATTACATTAAATTTGCTTAAGCACGGATCATCACTTAAAACAATACAAATTCACATTTAATCCAAATGACAGAAGCTTTCACATGCATATATCATCATAATATTCCAACCAATGGGCATCATTGACATAAGGTAAAGAGGAGAAAAGTGTACGTGGACAGAAAATGGATATCAAGAGACAGAAGGGAGTAAAGAGGAAAAAGCACACAATAGGCAACCAGAGTGCTGATAAACTCCTCTGTTAGAGAGAATGGGATAGGCATGGACACCAAGAAATCTTATCGACATGCTCAATCAAACATGAGTAAAAACACAGACAAACAACAGAATAGGGATATATTAAGAAACTGAGAAATGAAGGTACATTTTCAGAGTTAGATTTAATTGACATCCCTGAAGAGTATATGATAAAATCAGTTGCATTTTAATTTGCACAGAGTAAATAAGATTAAGAATAATCTTCGCACACAAGCACTTCACATTTTGAATTGCACAATTCTGCATTGTGGTCTTAAATTAAGCCAAACAATTTCGATTAACCTTCATATAAATAATTTCAAGTCCAATCATAGAAGAAATGAACGGAAGAAAACACACCTTTATTGCATCAATGTTTTTCTTTTTAATGTCTGCAGGTGAGTGAAGTGAAGTAAACTTTGCTAACGATGTCACAAAGGCATCCCTCTGAGTTTTCATGGACATTGCTGCAGTAACATGGATTGCACTACGGAAGCCATCCAAACAAAGGGATATCACAACATCATCATCACTCTGGTCGAGAGGAACACTGAAAGCAGCCAGCATTGGAGCCCAAGATATCTCAATCATGAATCTGAGGATCATCACATCTGTTGCAGCATAGTAGACAGACCTATAATTTTCCAAATCAACGTTAAAAGCAAATTCAGCATCTCATTTAGAATAAGTAATGACTTCTCATTTCTTCAACAAAGGAAAAGATATTTATAAAGCACTCACTCACCCCAACCACATCACTTAATAGGTTTTCATTCAACATAATTTAACCATTTCCTATTTAACTTTTTCCAAGGGCAATTCTATGTTGATAAATTATGAATCATTAAAAATACAGAGAAAGCATGGTATATTCAATCCAAGCAAATCATCCTACAAACAAATCAACAACGTGGCTGATAAAAAGCCAGAAATACAAGAACAGTCCAAAAAATATAGTATAAGAACATGCATCGCCAGTAGAAAATGTGGTCCTAACCCACCATGCAGAAGATTTCATTGTATAACTTACTCTGATCTCCGAGCCTTTTCCTTAAACTGTTCTTGCATGTTTCTCATGAGATCGTCACTGGTCTCCATACTTTCTTCATCTCGTGGACGTATCACAATGTTCAATATGCTATCTAAACCTAAAACTCTGTTTAAGTTCACCTGATGCTTTTGTTGGATGGCCAAATTATCTTCTTTCATTTTAATCTCATTTCTTGAGATTCGTTCATATAATGATTGCAGGTACTCCCCTGGTAGATCTTTTCCATCATCAATCCCGCGATTGTTTCTTATAAAATCTTCAACCGACATCTAAGCAAAGAATGAAGAAGGTAAGAAATAAATTAAAAAACAGAACCTCAGCAACAAAAAATGTGTCAACAGTCAATCATCACCTTGTTCTTAACCATAGGATTGTGTGCATCAGTGTTCAGCATTATAACAGAGTAGGCGAGTACATAAGCTGTGTCCGCACTGGTAAACGCCTTCGGATTACATTTGCAGTATCGCTCAGCAAATTTTTCCATAATACGGTCAATTTTCTGAGCCTCACCAGGTAATCTGAAGCCCTGTAGGAAGGCCCTGATAGCCTCATCAAATTGCATTCCTTGAAAATCAAAGGAATCCACATACGCATGCATCACTTTCAGCGACAAATCATCCCTTTCACCCAAATAGTCACCAATCAGAGTTTTATTCAAACCAGATGCATTTTTAAGGAAAGCTGCTATCTCCTCTGCAGAGTTTCCGACCTTATTTGCTTTTATCAGGAATTCAATACCTTTCTTGGGTTTACGGTTAAAAAGAGAGATGCCTTCCTGCCATGTAATGTAATTAACCATTATCATGCTAGATATAATGCCAATCTACAACTCAGAAGAAGTTAAGAAAATCAACAAACTAAATAAACTACTCAAAAAGCTGTAAAATTGCACCTGGAGCTCAAGCTTATATGCACGGCGTTGCTCAAGAGTTGAAACATCAGATACCTCGGTAGAAGGTTCAGGCTGAGTATCCGATCCTTCCGTGTGCTCTTCTGTAGAGCCATTTATGGTTGGGGAACTTCCAGGTTCAGAAGCATTTTCAGAAGCATCTAACTTCTTGGTAGAGTGAGTATCTGGAATTCGCAATTGCTTGTTCATCCAATCACCCATGCTCTTCAAAATTTCAACCAAGCATTTCATAGCTTCTTGCTTCATCATAATATCTTGGGGAGGCTGAAGTGTACTGACAACACCAGGTGGAACCCCTTGAGCAGTTTTAAGTAATCCATTAACCATCCTGGAATAAAAAAATTGAGCAAGGGGTCAGCTGAGAATCCACATATTAAAACCTGTCAACAAGTGTATCTTTTGCAAACGTATCGATTCAGCTCATGCTAACAAACTCAACTTCGTCAATACTTAGAGAAATTAAATTTCTTATATAACCACTTGAAATAACGAGACTGACCATACCTCTCAAATATGTTGGAAGCATTAACATCGCAATCATAGTTCAGGAATATGTCCACCAATATCTGTGAATCTACGCAGAGCCTTTTCAGGAATCTAAGCACAGTCATCTTTTGCTGAAAATTCGGTTGCGCAACATTTTCCAATACTCGAAGGACTATCATGGGGAAAAATACCCCAATTTCTGCTTTTAATCCAGCTCTGAATCGTGATACCAGGCTTATAAATATTGAGCAAGAAAGCTGGAAAACAATCATAAGGGTTGAAGCACTGTTCTTCAATAGCGAAAGGCACAGATACTGTTTAATAGCATCTAGAAATCTGTTTGAGAAGAAAATGAATGAATTACAGTTACGATGATAATCTAGCATGACATCAATTTGGAAGAATAAGATAATAAATAAGTAAAGTGAAGGACAGTAACAAAGATTTAAGGTGAAATAGTTTATTCAAACCAGTATATTGAGAACAATTAAGCTAAAGTGGGGGAGAATCAAACATTGGAAAAATCAATGCAACAAACCAACCAAGGTGATACCATTCATATTTAAAAAGGGACACAGAAAAAGGTAAAACAAAAATTGGCTGTTTAAATAAACGAGTTGTGCACCAGTTCAAACTATTGCAATAACTAAAAATCTGATTGGCCAACTGTGAATGTGCTCTAGAAAAAGTAAAGGTGTTACCAAACAATATTATGTGGCATCTTGGATTCTTTCTCATTATAATAGCAGTCTTGACGACTAGATGTTTTTGCTATCTGCTGAATATCTAGCTATTAGAGTGTTAAATGCAGAGTAGGCTACAAACTCTGATAAAGAAATATAGATACCTCATGAGAACGCTATGGAACCTATTTGGCTTATGTTCTACCTCATCTCAGATTACTTGGAATAGGTATTCACCTTAGGCATATAATATATGCACTTCTAACTTTCCGATTTTCAAACTCTCTTTCCAGAAGGTGTAGTGTATTAGGCTTCAATCTTTTTTTCACTTTGGTTCCAATCTTTACGTAAGAAACCATACTATGCAAAATGTAAAAGTTTCAGGATCCAGAAAATGACAGAACTAAAACCATTCAAGATAGTATCCTGGAAATCAAGCCACAAAAATGAGCGCCTCCAATACCTTTCACTAGTCCTAAAAACGGCCCCTGCATTTTCCAATAAAATCTTTAGCAACTCCAATGCCACAATCTTTCCCTTCATTGCCTTAGGATCTGCCGCAGCATCCTTTGGGGGGGTCTTCATCGAGAGCTTGCACAAAGCTCTAAAAACCAAAAAAGCATCCCTCCTTAGCTTATTCCCAATCTGAATCTCTAAATCATCATCCCTTTCCCCCTCGCCTTCGGCCAATTCTCCTTTCCTTCCTTCTAAAGCAGTCTTATACATGCTGATCTCCCAATACTTTGCATCCAACATATCCTTATCCGTCGAGTCCAACAAGTCCGCTGGATTTGTACCTTCTACTGTTGTCGTCTGAGTCTCAAAGGCCCCATCATAAGCCCTAACTCCTGATCCTACCGCACTGCTAGGAGTACCAGGACTAAAGACGACATCAATATCCTGCATTATTTTGGTGATGAAACCCTGAACAAAAACTGTCATGGAACCATCCATATCCGCCTTCTCCACAGGTTCCATGAGCTCTGCCACTACAATAGGCTGCAACGGCACTGTCGACGAATCAGCCTCCATTCTTCGAAACACAATGACAAGCATTTGAACCAATGATGCCTTGGCAGTGGTCTGGTTCACCATATTCTTGCTACTAAGATAAATATCATAGCAAGTCCTCACAACTTGCAATAAACAATCACCATGAATTCTCAAGGAGACAGACGTGACCGCCGATAAAAGAGTCTTGATCACCAACAATTCCGCATTCTCGTCCCCCAAATCCTGACATTTGCACACGGCATCAATCAATTTGGACAACAATTTAGCTTCGGGACCCCCGCTGGGGTCAGCCTCACCATGTATATATCCGTGGGCGATCAGCTTCTGGACGGCATCAATGGCGGGCTCGGAAACCTTGTGATAGTTAGAAGAAAGGGCATTTATAAGCGGGCTGAGAACGATTTCGGAATCGAGCAGGGAGAGATCTAGAAGCACCCCCGGCACAGACGCCGCGTCGACGGCGGAGGGAGAGCCGGAGGGCGAAGTCGGGGCGGAGCTCTGATTGGGAGAGTTGAGGTGTTCGATGACGGATTTGCACTCGGCAGCGAGTTTGGCGTGCTTGCGCCACGAGGCATTCTTGACAATCTTATCAAGGGCGGGGACTAAGAGCTGCGATAAACGGGAATCGGCTTCCGGAGAAGCCATTCCCGGAATCTCGAAACGGCGGCGGCGGTCCGAACCTTCAAATCGGCGGCGGATCTAGACGAGCGAGGAGTGCAGGAATCTGGTGCGGGAGCACGGCAGCAGCATCGGGAATCTGGATCGAAGAGTGCGAAATGAATAACGAATTGAAAACTGAGATTAGTTGGATTATGTTTGGGTTTGGGAGATAATTAGGAATTGATGAATCAAAACGCTTAATCGAGCTGACTGGCAATAATTCTTCGTCAACCTCAAACCTCTGATCCAAAATCAGCGAGGAATTCCGAAGTATTTTTATTACTGTTCTTATTAATTTCGATCAACGACGTCTTGAAGGAGGGAAGGGACTGAATCACTAAAGAATGTTGAGCGAATTTTGCTATCCGGGCTTTAAAGGAAACTGGGATAATGGGCCAGCCCATTATTTTATTGGGCCGTATTTTAAGTTTTGGGTATCGATCAATGGGCCATTTTTTGTGTGAGACCAATTAATAAGCGGCCCAAAGTTGCCATTGTCGAATTTACTGTCCGTTGTGCAATGGAAAATATTCCATTGCGTTCAACTTCTTTCTTGGCAAATTTTGTTTGGATGCCGTTACAAAATTACTCTGATTTGCTTTTGATTTCGAATTAAATTAAAATTATAGTCCCTTCCTTCAATAGAAAATATATTTATTTTTATTTTGTATTATTCAATTACAAAATAATTATTTCATTTGGATTCCAACTGTGTGAACCATGTGTTAAAATATTTTGTATTGTCAAATTACAAAATAAATATTTTATTTTTTCATAAAAATATTTAAATTATGCTCAAAGGAAATCACATTAGGTCAACCATATATACCAGATGGACTCGAAGTCCAAAAAAATTTAAACCGTGATCTCATTGTATCACAAGTTAACTCTCCACACCAGGTATGGTTGATTTGATTATTGATTTTTTTATTCAAATTTTAGTTTAAAATAATATTGTGATATAATATTGTTTTAAAAAAATATTATATTTTTATCTACAAACCGAACAATATTATTTTATGTTTGAATACAAACCAAACATCATGCCCTATTATTAATTATTTATGAACAACCACGGTGTGTTCACTTAAATCTGATCCCAATATTTTTTTTATTTTAATTTTTACAGTCTTTTTTATATAAAATATATTGTTTAATTTTATAAAATATTATATCAAAATATAATTTAAATTTATTATTATTGTTTGAAATGTTTTTAATTGAACATTAATAAACAAACATGTACTCCCTATTAAATATAATCCTTTTGTTCAAAAATAAAATAAGGGTGTGCTCCTTTACACGAAAATTTACATGTTTGTATTATTTGGACTCTCCATTATTTTGAAAAAGATCATATATTATTTTAATATTAATCTAAACAAAAAATTTTAAATTTATCAAAAGAAATAAACCCTAAAAGTTCAATTTATTTTGAATCAATAAACATTATTTCAATATATTGTTACATTTCTCATTTTCCATTGAAATGAATTAACAAGATAGGACTAAAACACGAATTTATAGAAAATGGCAATGAGGCAAAGCAACTGATATATGATTACAGAATTGTAACCTTCCATTAGAGACGAAGACACTTAAAAACAGTGCTGCCAATTAACCAACTAAAAGCAAAAAAAGAAAAACAACATACGACAACAACACTACAATAAAATTACCAACCAACGAATTTTAATTTAATTTGTTTCGATCCTTTTTATTTTATTTTATTTCTTAAATTAAGATTTTCAATCAAAAAGAGTTGGGAGGGAAAGCAGAAGCCTGGTTTCTGCAAGTTACAGGAGGCGCGTGCCGGTTGAGTAGATCACGTGCCATTTCCTGAAGATCGTTGTTGCTGAGGGACGCCATCTCCGGCGCCGGCCTGGCGCCGCCGCCGCCGCCGCCTGCGGCTGGGAACTGTATGGGGTCTATTTGCTGCCTCTGGTGGAGGGTCCAGGACGGGTACACCATGGAATCGCACAGAGCTGAGAGGTGATCGTACGCCGCCGGCATTGCCGGCAAGTCTGATATGATCTGCGACGGGTGTGCGAACAGCGACGGCGCCGGCGCCGGCGTCGGAACTTCCAGGGCGGCCAGGTGGGCTTGCAGATAAGCCAGCTCCGATTGCAGACTCACCACCTGTATTCAAATGGATATTTTTCTTACAATTGAAAATTACAGACAACTATTAATTATAAAATATAAAAAAGTGGCAAGAATTAAAATCACATCACGCAAATTATAATACAATTTTAATTCGTTTATAGTATATGATGTAACAAACCCATATTTAAGTAATTAAGCAATGTAATTTTAGTACTGTTTAATTTACAATTGAACTAACTATATATCTACAAAACATTAAAATCAAATGCAATTTTTCACAAAACAAAAAAAAAAAAAATCTGAACCCAAGATTACAGATACTTGCAAAGTACATACTTTTCACAACAAAATCTTTTATATCAGAAAATGCAGAACCAGGTTTCTTGATTTCAGCAAAACATTCAAGTGTTCCCCAAATGCAGATCATCATGGTCCACATTTGTTTAAATTAAACTTGTCCAGATTAGTTGTTTAATTAATTGTATGTAAACATACTGCCAAACATATCCAGCTCCAACATTAGCTTACTAACAACTCAAACCCCAACCCCAACCCCAACCCCAAAAGAAAAATAAATTTTTTAAAAAGTAATAATAGTAAATGGTCATTCATGAGCTTCCCAATGTTGTAATGGTTGCATATGTACTAAAATGAGTACCGACAGTCGTTGTCTTAAAACCCGGTTTTGACCATAAAATCAGTGTCTGCATATTACCCTATTTGAAATTCTTACACATGCATGACTTTGAATTCTCAAATAGGATCGGTGTGGGGTTTAATTAATTATTTAATTAATTGAATTACTAAGAAACAATATACGATGAATCAAATCATCAATGGAAGCTTGGTAAGTATTAAGATAATTTGCAAAAGTGCACTTCAGTTCACCAACTCTGATAGGACACAGAGACACATAGCTTTTAAGAATGAACCATTACTGAAGAAACTCTATTCATGACACAGACAACTGATATACGATCAAAGGTTACCAAAAAAATGAAAAATTAAATAAAAAAATTCAATTTCTTCAAGTAATTAATTTATTGATGGATCGATCGATTGATGAATTGATTGTTACCTGCTGCTGAAGAGCAAAGATATGTCCGACGCAGCCGTAAATCGGATCCCTCAGCCGCGACTGCGCCTCGTAGCAAATCGTCACCACCGCATCGAGGCGCTTGCTCGCCGGAATATGCAGCAGCAGCTTCGACACGTTGCTGGCGCCGAACACTTTATGCACCGCCGCGAAGTGCGCCGCGCCTTGCTCGGAATCAAAGTATGGCGCGAAAATGCACCCGGCGACGCACTTCCTTCTCAAAAACTTACACGCCCCGCACGGACCTCCACCGCCGCCGCCGCCGCCGCCACCACCACCTCCGCTGCTACCTCCTCCACCGCCGCTGCTTCCAGCTACGCTAGTACTCATGACATACAATTAATTAACTAATTAATGATCAAATCAAAAGACGAATACTATTTATATATCCTGTAGCTATATATATATATAGATAGATAGTTAGGGTTTCTGATTTTAGTGGATTGAGAATTGAGAAGAAGAAGAAGAAGAAGAAGAAGAAGAACAAAAAAGGTGCGAAGTTGAAAGGCTTTAGGATCTTTTTAAAGAAATTAAGGCTTTTAGGGTTTGGTGGTATCCGATGGAGAAAACGAATTAAGGCTTAGAAGCCACGCGAAGAAGCAGACGCCGTTAGAAGCTTGCGTGAAGCAAGCATGAGATAACCCACCTGCCCTTCAATGCCTTATATTATCTCGTGAGTTTATATGCAAAACTCATGCTTCACTTACTGCTCATCATCACTTTCATTTTTATTTTTATTTTTAATTTAATTTTGGATTTCATTAAAATATGTTTGTTTGTTCTATTATGTAATTATTATTATTATTATTATTATTATGGGAATAATAATTACGGATTTTAATTTCAGACACAGATGAAACGGGGATTGTGCGTGTTCATTACAGTCTGTATATAGTTTTACATAACGCTGCGTGTTCCATGCTGCTAGCCTCTTCTTTTTTTTCTTTTTTTTCTTTTTTTTTTCACAGCTTTAATATAGTTTTTGGTTGCTGGAAAGGATGACTGACTAATCATTACACTTCATCATTTGTTAAAAGTGTTTTATGCAGCAGACTTTTCATAAATTTATTTATTAGTAATATTTATATATATGTACTGTTTGTTAATTATATGCTCTGTTCGGATGAAGATAAGATTTTATGAATTATGCATGTACATCTTGGTTAATTTCACCATAAATAAAATTAACTCCAGAGTATATAATAGTAGTAAATAAAATAAAAAAAAAAAAGTTGTTTCTTTAATGTTTTTTAAAATTAATTTGAATTTTTATTAAAAGAGTATTTTGATATGATTCTTATTAAAAAAAAAATAAAAGAAATGGTATAATTTAATTAAATTTTCATTAAAGATATAATAGTATAGATTTATGTTTAAAATCGTAAACAAACAAACCCTTGGACTTTTCGGTTCTGTTAATCAATGTGACATATATATGCATGAATATGGTAAATTGATTTATTGATATGTATTATTCTTTTCATTATTTAAATTTATACTCACTTTTTGTTTATATTGTGATAAAAATATATATATTCTTTATATTTTTAAATAGAAAAGTACAGTATTTTTATATGTTGTTACTATAAAATAATAATAATAGCTACTACTTAATTTTATTAAAAATTATATATAAATATTTAGATAAGGGAGGAAGTAAAACTCAACAGCCACACTGAAAATTAAAACTCATAAAATTGGCTAGATTGTGCGGCTTAATATATATACTCCCTTCTTTTATTTTTTGTTATTTGCTATGCTAAGTTTACGTAGAATTTATTTATATTAAAATATTCTATTCGTCCACTAGTTAATTAGTCTTATTTTAGCGAATATTAATCAAATCATTGCTAATTTTTCTATTTATTTTACTACTTTTATATCTACTCTTTAATAAAATTCTTATAGTACTGTTGAATATATCCCACGCAAAAATATGGGGTGAATGGTCACTCCACCAGCCAGATTTTAAGTTGGAAGTCCGGATCCCTTCTTTATACATTTTTTTACTTTTTATTTATTTTATTTTTATACTACCTTCGTCCGCCTCTAAGGATTATACTTATATTTCTGTTATTGTACTTAACATTAAAAATATGTTTATATTTCTATAATTTTTTTTGTACAAATTTCATTATATTAGTATTATAAGACACTACTAGAAGTATTTTGACATTTTTCTTTGTATTTTGATATAATAATTAGTATTTAAAGATCAACACACAAAAAGTAAGTATGACCCTTAAAATCGGACATATGAAACATTAAAATGCTATTATTTTTTCGTCTCCGTTCTCAACCAAACAAAGAATAGACATAGCAGTATATAATTAGGTGTGTGACAAGGTCACATATAGCAAGGTGTGTTTACTAATTAATTTTTTATTTTTTTCTAATCATATTTTGTTATTTTTCTCTAAAACTCTTGCATTCAACTACTATTTCATATTTAAAAATAAATAAATAAAAATTGATTAATTACAATATGTGAAGCATGGCGATTACTCAAAGAGTGTCATCATCATCACAGAATTTTTGGTCATTATTTGATTTTCAACTAGCAAATTCACATTTGGAGATTTTTATCAGCTTAGGAAGTAATGTGGCAACTGAAAATACATAAGATATTAAATTAGTAATGTTAATTCAAATGTCACATCCAAATAATCGAATGAATCATCTAACTGAAAATCTATCAAAGGCATTTCTTGTGTGACAGGGCTCAGTGGCACACACCAATTTATGTATCATTATAACTGAATATATGAATCCAAAATAATCAAAGTATATAAGGCATACTTTTTCTTACTTGGAAATTTGAGGAAAAAATAAATAAAATAATAAATTTAATGCCTGTGCGTAATTATGTGTATACATAAAGTTTTTTTTTTTTTTTTTTTCTAAATATAAATCGATCGCTTTATTTTGAATAAGGGGGGATATCAAAATAATAATTTTGTAAATTGGCAGAAATGAATTATTCAGTGCGTCACTATAATTATTTACGTACTAAATAATCTTAACAACTTTTTGGGCATATTGAAACTATACTCAATAAGTTCATGTTTTCTCTCATATGTACATAAAAGCATATATATATATATTTATTGTATTTGCACTCAAACAAATTAAAATTTTCTTTATAACTCAGTACCACGGAATGGTTATTGTTTTATTATACGATGTTTGTTCATAATTGAATCTGTATTGTATTGTATAAATATATTTAGTATATTAAAATCTACAATAATATTTGATGTGTAGCTTTTGTTATGTACGGTGATAAATTAATATATTGTATTTATATTATATTAATTTATTATTTTATATTATGTATTATTTATAAATGTGTTATATATATTTTAAAAAACTAACATCATTTTCCGTTACCTCTCGGCAAAATATATAAGTCGTAAAGATTGAGAAAAATTAATCGTGACTCGTCAACGGAAGAGTCAAAGGGACCGAAAGTCGGGAGTTCAAAGCACGGTCCCGAGGAGTCTGTTTCATAGTAATTTTCATACGTCGCCACGTCGGATTAAGTGACGTCACTCATAACCGAAGGAAGAAATTGAAATGCCACGTCACTACCGCTCACCGCCTCCTGACTATAGCGAAATCGCATGTTTCCGGTGCACATGGACCTAATTCACATCGCTGCTTGTCATCGGGCCCTACATGACAACTTTAGAATTCATTCATTAAATTTTTTTTTTTTTTTTTTTACGTAATAAAAAAAACATGCATATGCATATCATTTGTTAGAAAGGGATTATAATTAATTAATTAGCGTAGGCAGAAAATGTCAGCAACAGTGCGTAACGGCGCTACCGCCGCGCCGCCCGGTTGCTGCGGTGTCAGGAGGCGGCATTGACGGGACGGGACACTTGGGCACCGTGCCCGACTGCCACGTGTCGCCTTAAGAAACCCTAGTTAACTGATACAGTCAGTTCTGCTTCTTAAACACAAGTTGATGACGTGTTCTTTAAGAAAAGGATGGTGTAATTTCAATAAACTAATAGTACCAATCCTTAATCCGATAATTAAGTACTGTTTTTCTTTAACTGAATGAAAATGAGGTCAACCTCTAGGATTTATAAATATATTTGGGGTGTCTTACGGCAGACATGTTTGGATAACTTTTACATTTTTATTTATTATTGCTTATGTTTTATTTGTTAGTTATGAATTTGGTTATTTAGAATGAGGTATATGAGATAGATAATACTTTAATCGGATTTTCACACACGATTTAACATACTTTTTTTTCTTTTCTTTTCTTTTTTTTTTATTAAATACTACTATTTAAGTAATAAAACTCAAACTACACATTTCGTCTCCGTTTAAACAATAGATTTTTGAAAAACTTGGAATTTTAAATATTCTAAGAACGTGTAAAATTAAATCTTTAATACTCCTTCCGTCCCATAAAGAAATATCTATTTGCTTTTTGCACGTAGTTTTTGAAATATTAGTATTATATTGGGATATATAGTAGAAATAAAATAGTAATGACTAAAATAATTTTATTAGTATGTGTGATATAAAGGTAATGACATTTGTGTAATATATTGTAAGTTGTAAGTGTATTTGTAATGTTAGATAGATAGTACAGTTACTAAAAAAAATGAAATGATACTTTGTTATGGAATGGACTAAAATAGAAAAATTGATACTTTGTTATAGGACGGGAGAGTATGATATTTTATAAAATAAAAAATATACTCCTTCCGTCCACTTAAAAAGTAAACATATACTTTTGGCGCAGTATTTAAGAAAAAATAGTATTTTAATTATAATGTGCAGTTAAAAAAATAGTGCAATAATATTTTTGTTCTTTTTTTTTTTTGTTTAAAAGTAATGATGTGTTGTTAAGTAAGAATATTTGTAAAAAAAAAATAAAGTATTTAATGAAATATTTACTTTGTAATTGAACATTCCAAAATAGAAATATATATATTTTATAACGTGACAAAATTAGTATTTGATTTAATATTATTTTAAAAAAAATATAAATACTACCAAAATTTAAAAAAATATTATATAAACAAAGTTCACATATTTCCAATCATAGTTAAAAATATATATATATATATATATATAACATCATTCATTCAAATATATTTTCATTCTGTTTTTTGAATTATATAAAAGAAATACTTTTATTTCTCTTTTTAATAAAAAAAATAGTGTTGAATTTTGCCCATGATTTGTGTCACGTGATGAGTGGCAATTGTATACTTTAATCGACCTATTACAACGTCAGGCGTGGATTATAGGCTTATAGCCCAGCCCAATTAACACCCATTATTACCTAGACCGAATTTCATCTGTTGGATGTAGGAATTGATTGTTGTGTTCATTTTATCAAATTTTAGATTAGGGCAATTATACACATGTAAGAATTATACAAGTAGGTTTAAGTTACATTGAGTAAATCTTGTTATTTTGATTTTCTTAGTGAATCTACATCTAAAAAACATAACATGTAAATCAATTTTTTTTATTATTATAAAATATTAAATTTATAATTATCTATTTTTATTAAAATATATACTCAACTGTTTAAACACAAATTCCAATGACGAAAGAATAGAGACTATAAGCAACACATGTACCATCTAAATTGATATTTCCTCCTATATATTATGTCAAAATTTTGACTTTTTTCTATCTCACATTTCATGTAAGTTCTTTTTTTATTTTAATTATTATATAATACTTTAATTAAATTTTAAATTTTAAAATTTAAATCATAGTAATTATTTATATTAATTTTAATTTATAATAATTTTTATTATACTGTAATCTATTTTATTAGCTATATATATTTTTTATTTTCGTATCTATAATAATTTTGATATTATAATAATAATAATAATAATAATAATAATAATAATAATAATAATAATGTGTATGACCAAGTTATTATCCATAAATCCCATTAATCATTACTGGACAAAAGGAGTAACTTTCATACGTTAATCACACACTCACATCTCATCACAAAAAATGTTTTCAAGATTTAATTTAAATTATTACAGTACTGTTGACAGTATTTTGGTTCAGGGGATTAAATTGTCGATATACTTTTAATACTATATTTATTATTATTAATTATATAATAATAATTGAAAACTTACTACCGACTTCCTTGCTTGTAATTTTGTAAGATGGACAAATTATATATAATTACAAAGAAAATAAAAATAAAAATGAAAATGAAAAATTCAGTCAAAAGTGGATGAAATTTTATTTTACAGAAAAATAAGAAGAATGGGCTAAGGGTTAGGGTTTGCAGAGTAGACTGAGTGAGTGAGTGAGTGAGTGATGGAAATGACAGGTGAAAAAAGATGGGTTTTTTATTGTAGTGTGGATGGGATGTTTTCCCACGTGGGAACAAGTTTACACGTGTGCTTCTAACTGCACACAGAGTCAGAGCGTAATCTGTAAGTTGGTATTTACCCTCAACTATATAACTATCCACAATTTTTTTTTTTATATATATATAACTAAATTAAATGTTTTTATTTTCATTGTATAGAACACTTTAGTCATGATTTGGAATAAATTTAAAATGCATTTGACTTGATTTTTTTTAAATAAAAATTTTAATTTTTTGATTTTGAAACATTCATTTTATTGTACGTTTAGTTATGGTTTACAATGTATAAGCAGTCCTAAAAAAATCGTATTTATTTATAAAAAAAAAAAAAAAAAAAAAAAAATCACTCTATCAATAAAAAAAAACTTCCATAGAAATACAAGTCATAGATTTATTATCTCTATTAAATTTTCAAAAATTAAAAATTTTATATAATATTTAATTTTTCAAATTTCTTCTAAATGAAAACTCAAATAATTTGTAAAGTTGTAATTATTTGTTATATATACAATATTGTACTCCCTCCATCCAGCTACAAACTGTCTCTGTATTTCTATTTTGAAAAGTCCAACTACAAAGTAATCATTTCATTAAATACCCTTATTTTTTTCACAAATATCATTGTTTTACATCACATAATTACTTTTATATCAAAAAGTAAAGACAAAAATATCATTACACTACTTTTACCCACCCACTATAATTAAAATACTATTACTATTTTTTAAACTCCGCACCAAAAATAAATATATACTTATTAGTTGGACGGAGGGAGTAATTCTTTTCTTTTTTATACACAATTATATTTAAATATTAAAATGCAGATGGATCCGCTCAAAACAAACAAATCAAACTGATGTAATCTGGGTTTGGTACAAGGCTTTGTATGTTTGGCTTAAATTAATATGACCAAAAGAGTTTGAAGAATTGATGAGAAAATAAAATGTATAATAATTAGAATAGAGATTAATTGATTTTAGGAAATTAATTACAACTTAAAAGAGATATGAACATCTAAATGAACCAGTTGTTGAACAAATGAGGGATGATTTAATAGCAAAATTATTTCATTTTGTTACTTTTCCTTCATATTTATGTCTATTCTTTGCTTTTTTTTCTTCAACTATTTCATTTTATATTACATGTTTTCTTTTTAATTTTCAAGGTTTAATGTTTGATTTATATTTTATTATATCGAGCTTTTCATAACTTTTCGATTTTTTTTTTTTTTCAGATACTAAAGCGATAAAACCTTTTTCATCACATCCATCCGGTAGACCCGACTCCAATAAGGATGTCGAGGGTGATTTTTAATGACAACAAAATAATCTCAAAATTTATAATTAATACTCCCTCCGTCTATTTCTAAGGATTACATTTACTTTTTGCGTCATTTTACTTAATATTAAAAATATTTTTATATTTGTATTATTTTTTTTGTACAAATATTTTTTATTAATATTATAAAACACTAATTTAAGTATTTTTGCAATTTTTTTCTTAATTTGTAAGACGTTTTTGATACAATAGTTAATATTCAACTATCAACACACAAAAAGTAAATAAAACCCTTAAAGACAGACGAAAGTAGTGTATGAATGTATATTTTGAATGTGTACTAAAAAAATAATATTTTCTTTGCTCGGAATAATTATGTCAATATTTTTTAAAAAATTTATATGTAATTAATTTTATTGTAAACAATTTAATATATCTATAATTTTATTACTCATATTTTAACAAATAATAATTAATTTATTATTATTATTTTTTATATCTTATCATCTTTTATGTAATATTCCATCCGTCCAACTCTAAGGATCTTTTTTGGTACTTAATATTAAAAATATTATTATATTTGTATAATTTTTTTTACACAAATATCATTATAATAATATTATAAGACACTAATAGAAGTATTTTTGTATTTTTCTTTAATTTATATTACATTTTTATATAATACTAATTTATATTCAAATATCAATACAAAAAGTAAATGAATCCTTGTGGAACGGAGATAATATTATTTGATATATCTTTACTTATTTCTAGAATATCTCATATAATATTTCATATAGTACTGTAGCATATTACATACTACTATTTCGACATAACACAAAATCATATTAATGTGTATGTGTTGTTATATTTTTATTTGAAATTTTCTAAGTACCAAATAAGAATTTTTTTGTTTGTTTGTTCGCTTTTTAAAATTAAAAAAAAACGTAATTCATAATAATATTTCGTCTGTATTATACATATGAATTCGTTTTTGTTTTTTTTTTTTTAATTTCAAAATTAAAGTTTTACTATCAGAATTATGAATAAAAAAAATATAATTATATTTTACAAAATAATATCAAAATAACTTTGAAATTCACATTAATTCAAATCAAAATTGATGTGTGAGTGAGTGTTGCTTTAATTCGTTTGCTTCACGCAATCCCATTTATATTCTCTCCTTTCAATTCATACATTCCACTGTTTTGCCCTACCTTCACGTTTTGCACTAAATTATTTAATTTATGACAACTTACATATATCGTATTAGCAGATTAATTAATTATACTAGTACTATCTTATTACTAGGCTGTAGGAACACACAAATATAGATACGTACATTATACATACATAGGTAGTGCCAAAAAGTCACAACAAACAAACCCTTAATTCATCGTCATCCATTCCTCCCTCTAAATATAAAAACAAACCCCACTCCACTTTTGCTTTTTGCCCAAACACCAAACAACCACAAATTAATTAAAAAATATATTAATTAAGAAGAAGAAAGGCTGCTGCAGCAAGTTTCTTTTGCCGTTACAATTCAGACAGTACGGATGATGAGCAGCAACGGCGGCGGCGGTGGCGGTGGCGGTGGGCAGAGTAGCGGGCCGTGCGGCGCCTGCAAGTTTCTGAGGAGGAAATGCGTGAGAGGGTGCGTATTCGCGCCGTATTTCGACTCGGAGCACGGCGCGGCTCACTTCGCGGCCGTGCACCGGGTGTTCGGAGCCAGCAACGCGTCGAAGCTGCTCCTCCGGATTCCGGCGCACCGCCGCCTTGACGCCGTGATCACGCTCTGCTACGAGGCGCTGGCTAGGGTTAGGGATCCCGTCTATGGCTGCGTTGCCCATGTGTTCTCGCTCCAGCAACGGGTAATATTATATTCCCTCCGTCACAGTTGAGTTATGTTGGTTTTCCATTTCCGTGCGTCCTAAAAATATTTATAGCCAAATTATTTTTATTTTTCTAAACTATTCCTAATTATTATTCTAATATATACTTTTTAAAATTATTTAAAAAATAAAAATATTTTAATTTTTTTACTTTATACTCACTTATTTTGAGAGACATCTTTCCTGGATTGAGGAAGTATATATATATATACACATCAGCTGTCGAGAGTTTTGGAGGTTTTTTCTTTTAATAAATTTGGGATCGGTTATTGACACTTTCGAAAATTTTGTTACTATTAATTTTCAGTAAACACAGAAAAAAAATAATCGTATCAAAGACTTGCACGCAAGATTTATAAATTTTAATAAATATAATATTTTATTGATTGATGGTAATTTAAATATAATGAAATAATTCTAGGTAAAGTGAGTGGGTAAATGATTATAACAAATTTAATGTTTTATATAAATCGAAAAGTGTATAAAAATATTTTTCTATATATAATAATATAATGAAGTATATAATATGATTTATAAAATAGTTTCAGTTAAAAGGAGGATTTATATTTGATTGATCAAGTTTCCTCTGGTACATATCACATTGAATGTTCTTAAAATTTTCAGAACCAAAAAGAGTTTGTTACTTTTGATATGAAAGTTAACATTTTAATTTAAATAATATTTTGATATTATATTTTATTAAAAGAAGTAAATATTTGTATTTGTAAATTATTGTTGACACATTAATTAGCATCAAAGAGTGGGTAGATTTTATTCTTGTGTCCTTGTACTATTATGAAATAACTTCACGCTGTTATCTTTGCTATTTATTTTTATATATAGCGTTTAGATATATTGGCCTTTTTGTCTCTTGTTTAGGGTTCGTGATTTGGGATTAAAAAGTGCGAAATAATTATTAGAATTTTGGAAGAGAGAATTATTGTTAAAAATATTACTCCTATTAAATTTTATTTATTTATTTATTTTTTCGTTTAGGGCATAGGGACATACTTCAGGCCTCGTTGCAGTGAGTTTAATGCTCCTTGACTAATATTTTGACTTTTTCTGCCATGGTTTTAGTTCTCATTTTTATTTTCGATTTTTTCTTGTTCAGAAAATTTTATTGAGTTGGTAGTATTAGGGTTTTTGTTTTACATCAATTTGTTATATTATCTTAATAATATTTTTTCACAAAAACTATCATATCAACAATTTTTTTATTTTTTATTTTTTTTCGAAACTCCATCAACTTTCAAATTCTACATACACTGAGCTTAGTTTGCGGTAAATTCTTGACTACGAATTGCACGTTCTAATGTCTCATCATGTCGTCGTCCTCTTTGCTGCATTTATTGCTTGATTTTCTTGATGAGGGCCATTTTGTGTTTTTATTTTTTATTTTATTTTTTTTAAGCCATACATGTAAGTACACAAATTTACACAGCAACATCGAAGTTCCTAAAATAAATAAACAGAACTCTCTAATTGGGATCAAAATTCGAAATTGATAGTAAAACCAGACATGAACTTTACCTCTTATATACGTTTATGATAATCAGTGATTACCGCTGTGTCCTGCTCGGGGGACCCGGGACTCCAACTCCAGAAGCGCACACACACACATCACCCACGACCAATTAGGGTTTGGCGTTGGGGTCCCGGGAGTTCCCCAAGCAATTAGCATTCGCGGATGAACAGTAGGTTCCTGGTTTGCTTGCAGGTTGTGAATCTCCAGGCGGAACTGGCGTGCGTCCAGGCGCGTATATCCACGCTCCAGCGGTCGCCTACTTTCCCGTCGTCTCAGCCGCCGCCGCCGGCGATGTCTCCTCCCGACAACTTCCGACCTAATTCCTCCGATCATCATCAATTCGGTGCTGTCCGAGGCGCCGCCATCTTCGATCGTGCAGCCCTAGCCCCGTCCGAGGAAACATCTCCAGAAATGGCGAGCTTCTGCAACTCTGCGGACCAGGATCTGGATGATGCTGCTGCTACTGATCTCCAGGCACAGCTGGCCCGGGACTACGTGTCCAGGTACTTTCCTGGAGTCAGATTCAGGCCCTCAACTCCATGATCGGAACCTCCTCCTTGTTAATTTTCCTATGTCGACGAAATTGAAGAACTTGTGCCAGACTGTGTACCTCAGTTTCCCTATTCCCCTCTCTTCTAAATGCTGAACTTTCCAGAACAATCATATATATATATATGTGATTTTGTTTTAAGCCCACTTTAAGCCCAATTTATAAAGCTAAGGCCCAATCTAGAACATTAACGTATTAGGCCACAATGGCCCAATTGCGTAATGCAGTGACGATTAGGATTGTGTTGTATACGGACCGGATGAAAGCAAATAGTACTTCTTTTCCAATTTGACTATTTAATTGGATGGATTCCTTATCGAATTTTAAATAATATTAGTATTAATCATTTTCAAATTATTTTATTTTTTCTTTTATTCAATTTTAATTTTTATATATAATGTTTAAAATATCATTTAAATATTTGATCCAACATTTAGATTCTTTTTGTCGTGTGAGATCGATTTGAAGCTATTCCATATAAAATTTTGTAATAAAATTTTTAAAACATACTCCTTCTCTCCCACATATCATGTTTACGTTGCCGTTTTTGTCCGTCCCACGTACCATGTCATTAAAGTAAAATGATTACACACTTTAATTTTATTTTAAACTTTAAATTTTTTAATTAAACTAATTAGTTATCTTAATTTTAATTTATAATTATTTATATTATAGGATAATTATTTTCATTAATATATTCTTAATTATCTACTAATTATATCTGACGGAGGTAGTAGTATTTAAGACAATTTGACAAAAATAAATAAATACTGATAATTCACACAAAGAAATTTTTTTTTCTCTAACCAATATGAAAATACCATTATATAGTTGTTGTCTTAATTGTATTATTAATTTATTTATATAATCTTTTAATTTAGAAACATATATATATATACCATATTTTATACTCTTTCTCACTTAAATTTGTATATATTTTTTTTTATCTTGTCACCTAAAAAATAATCACAAGTAAAATCACATTGAAATTTGTGATAAAAAAATTTAAAAATAATTTTAAGAGTGACAGAATATGCTATGTGTATATTTTTTATTATTGAGCCAAATACTTATGAATTAATCTAATCAAGTACTAAAATTTTATATTGGTATCTAATTTATATTTAAATTGAATAAATTTATATTCTAATACAAAATATTATTATTATTTTTATACTACAATACAATTACATATTTTGACTCGAACTAAAACAATAAACAAACACATCCTCCACGATCACCACAAAATTATCGATACATTTACAACCCTAGTGACGATTAATACTGTAGGTAGGTAATCATCACTCATAAGATTATGAGCATTTGATTGACAAAAGTAATAATCGGGGAGTCCTTTGCTCTCGTTAGATTTAGGTATTGTATCGATCGATTTCTTGCTTTGCTTTAATTCTCGAAGATTGGAGTCCGATTTCGAGGTGTGTATGGAAATATCGAGCTAGGGTACAGGCAGATGGGAAAACCTAGGAGGAGCGTGGCGTTTCAAAGATGGAGCCAAGGCTGTGGCCGGCCTTCTGCATGTTCGCCATAAGTCAGACCATCCCCAGAGCCAGAGCGCTTTTGCAACGATTGTCATTTGCAATCGTCATCCTCCGCCAACCGATCTCGAATTCAATGAGTAATAACCGCTTCATTATCAGAATTTGTCGAGAGGAAGCAACAATGTACATTGCTTTCATCGAAATCGTTGAGCTCATTCGAAGCTCTAGCCGTCGTCGCTGCACTGTCAAAACCGACGTCGACGATGAATCCGAGCAGATTGGGGAAGCCGGTTTTTAGATCGGGCAGATGGCCGCGCAGGTACAGGCTGCACCGCCACTGCCTCCCAGTAGTGATGAATCCTTGCCGTCCAGTGACGATGATGGCTTCTCTGTATCTGATTACATCTGTTACAGAGACGACGATGTGGTGGACTCCGCCGTTGCTGTGCCAAATGCAGAAGCAGAAGCAGAACGAGTAGCTCCATTGCAAACGCCGGACGTCGCTGCTCCATCTCAAAACCCCAACTCGGTGCCTTACATTAACCCTGAGCCTCACATTTCGGAGAGATTCTACATCTTTAACATGTCCTCCTATGAATTGATAATTAACTGCTTGACAGAGGAGCGATTTCCCTCTGTTTTTGAGATCGAAGAAGTAACACCGGCTTCAGTGCTCACCAACTGGCGATCGGTGTGGAGTGATCGTCATCAGTTTACTGCATATCTGCGAGCCTGGAAGAGGATTCAGAACAAACTCCGAATCCGCCAGGAGGATCCTGCAGAAAATCAGCCATGGTGATGATTGTAGCTTCATATGTTTCAAGAACAATTTGAATCAGCTAGTTCCGTACATAGCACAATGGCAGGATATAGTTTTGGCATTTCATGGAGAAGGAGATTTGAATCATCTAGGCTTGACAGAAACTATAGATAGTATTAAGAATGTATGGACTGTAGGCTCGAGGTTTTACGGCATTCCGGAAAGCTTTATAAGGGTGTGTGTAGCTGCCTGTCCGGTGTGCTCAGATGCTACCCTGCCAAGGGCCAGAAGGCGTAACACTCAAAGTGCCTTCTAAATTGCGACGATTGGTGTTGGAACATGAGGTGGAGTTAACTATATAGCAAAAGTATGTTTGATAAGCGCCATTTATAGCTGAGGCAAAGGGCTACGCGTGTTTTTCGTGGGGGTAACACGCGTCGAAGTGGGCTACGCGTGTCTGTCGTAGGGGTACCACGTGTCGAAGAGGCAACACGCGTGGAAGAGGTGTGGCTACAGTTCTCGTGTAAGGGCGATACTTCCTATAGGTAAGAAATTATTCTAAAACATTGCACAATGCTTGGATTCCCAATTATTATGGTCTGTTGAGAATGTGAATTGTAATCATGAAATTTTTGTGTATGATTATCTTTGGTGAAGTAGTAATTAGTATTGAAATTCATGTTACTAATTCTATAATCTATAACTGGGTGATCTTTTGAATTTCTGATCCATCTGTTTGATTCTTATTCTTGTGAAAAGTTGTATCAATTTGGCTAATCTTTGTTGTCCAGAAACATAAGGAAGCTCTTGGCCTGTGTGAAATACATATGCACTCAACAAAATAAGTCACTTCATAATTTACTGTAACCAAAGGTCTAATTTTCTTGGCTTAGCCATGTCCCTGGCTGAGGTTTTTACCAACCTATTTGGCAATCTATGTCTGTGATTTCCAATTGAGTTTATTTTTCTGTTTATCAAAATTGAAGCCTATCAACATCTAAATGGTAATGAGTTGGATTTGGTAATTAGATAGTAAGCATTAATTACAGATATCGTTAGTATGTTTACACTTAACCATTCATGGTAAAAAAGTAAAAATATGTATCCCAAAGTGGTAAAGAAGTGTGAATCCATAAGCCAAAACCGAGCTAAATTTTGGCTTCCAAAAAATGTACCATGGATTGTAATGCCGTTAATTTCATTGCATTCATGTATTATACTAAGGATCTTAGAATCATTATATGAGGACCTAATTGTATGAAATGTGTTGTTCTTGATATCGACGCCGTGTAAGGTACATTAAGAACTACATGACCTGTTCACCTAACTAACCATGCTTGGCTGCTTCTTCTACAGATGAATGGCTCAACTCACATATTGCTCATGCATTGCCATGTGGCATAACTTTTTGACCTTGGTGAGAATCAGGACAATTAGGATTGCAGTTCAGTTTTTGAATCGAGACAATAATGATATGTCTGTTTCTTCCCCAACTTCCACCTATGCTTATTTACTCATTCATATCTTCATTCTTTTAATGTTCCACAGGCGGTTATGTATCTGACAAGTTTGGGAATCTGTGAGCTGAAGTGATGATGAATTACTTTGGAAAAAATGATGCAGCTGTATCAGAAGGGTGTCTGACTGACTAACTGCCTGTTGAACTGAAGAATTAATGCGCAGTTCAGTAAGTTGGTTATTGGGTCTGAACCAGAGTAGATTCTTTTACCAAACAACTTAAAATTGTTGTTGAGACATTGTTTGATTTAAATCTTTATATTCAAGTCCTCATTTCCCTGGATCAGCAATGTTGTGCTTATCAATTGAGATTTCCTTACAGGATTATTGTTATGCAAATTGCTGTTTGAATGCCTATTGGTTCATGTGTATATATATATGTCCTTGTGCAGAAACATCTGTTGTGTACTAACATATGATATTGGATGAAAAATAAAGATACATTACATTGTTGACCATATTCATCATAGAGAAATATGAACCCAACTATAATAAATACTGCTAACTACTCTTAAGCTAGACAACATGCATATATATATAAAAATATATATGTGTCTGTTTTGCCTAACATTGCCCATCTTCATCAAAGAAGACAGACTCAAGCTGTGTAATAATAAATAACACCTAACCACTCTGTAAAACATACAAACACCGGCGGGCGTGTAAAGTTCAACACTAAAAGTGACAAACAGATGAAAAAATGTAAAGAAAAATCGATGCAGCTGATCAAATCACTTGTGCAGTGATTTAGTGTTCTTCAATACGACCGGCCCGGCCTCCGGCGAGGCGAACTAGTTCTTGAAAAGTTCCAGACAGTGCTCCTGATCCAGGTTCCGGCTCCAGAACTTCTTGTAATACTCGGCATATGTGAAATCTCTGTAAATGGTTGGATCCCCTCCATCCGTAAGCGACTTTGGGGCGCTGATATTCGCACTGTCACACGGGCAGAGAAAGGATGCCACCGACAGTCTTTCTTTCTCTGCATTCACTACAGCTCGATGCCATACGCTTTTGTACTTCCCGTTACTCAACGCCTACAAAAAGTTTAGAGTATGTAATAAACTGCATCGTCATTCAATCAGTGCATTTCGAAAAGCGAGATGGCATTCAATTTTAATCATGTTCGTCATGACAATTATTACAACATTGCGATCATATGATATATGCATACAGCTTTTACTTGCGTAGAAACCTTTGTTTTGCAATTTTCACTCCTCTTAATCTTGCCTAACACATTCGGCATACCTGGAGTTGATCCCCGATGTTAACAACGAAGGCATCCTGCTGCGGTTTTACGGACAACCATTTGCCATCCTTCTGCACTTGAAGACCAGCCACTTGCAAATCTTGAAGAAGAATGGTGAGGGCATTCGGATCTGTATGCGCCGGTAATCCATAAGTCAGCTCTGGTTCGGGGCACTGTGGATAAAAGTTGATTGCCATATGTTGTCCTTGCTCTCCTAGTATATGCCTCACCCTGTCTTTAGCTAATCCTAAACTCTCTGATATCGCTTCTTCCAATCTGAACCCGAGTTCCCGAACCTCCTTGCAGTAGCTGCTCACAACATCCCTACCAGTGCAACAACAATATCTTTAAATTATTGCACATGCACCTTATTAATATAGAGAGTTGTGTAATAGTAAGCTTTACTTGAAAGAAGAGGGATTAGAAGGCCACTCGGGAGCATATTTCTCCAATGGATAACAGTGAAGCCTTAGATAATCCCTCCAGTTGTGGACAGTCTCCTTCTTCACATTAAAACTCGTAGACAGCCTCATAGTTTTCGAAGGGTCATCAGAGTACAGCATCATCTTTTCTTCCACAGACAGGCTAAAGAACGCACGTGCTACCTCGAGGATGCTGTCCACTATTTCCTTGGGCACTCCATGATTGATTACCTGATCGGTACCAAATAAAAATTTAAGCATCGAGATGTCTTGGGATGTAGATGAACACGATTAAGCAGTATGTAACCTGGAAAAAGCCATAATCCCGGCAGGCATCGCCAATTTGTTTTATGATCAGGCTTCGGTCTCCACAGCCCATATCAACTACGGGAACATTATGACATTCCTCAACTTCAGACAGATTCGGCCGTTCGGATTCTGGACGAACGTAACTGCTGGGGAGGTGTGAGAACTGGATTCCACTTATGACCTTTGGTTCCATGGAATCCAGTCTTATTACTATTGTTCATGAAACTCAAGAGAAATCTCCAGATGAGATGCTGCTATAGTCCCCAGAAGCCTAATGAACATACGACTGATAGTAATAAGAGCAGCAGGGAAGAGGGAATGCCGGGTTGACTGCGGATGCTTTTATATGCGCCCTTTTGGTGTCCCACATTGCTTGGCCCTGTTTGCCTGAAAGATTAAAAGGTAATGAAATTAGCCTTTCTGTCTTGTTTTTCTTCACCAGATTGGCAAAGAATCACAAGTCCACAGGTTACAGAATAGTTTAAGACAAGACTAGAGTTACTACAGCATAAGCACGAGCCCTCAATTTCTTAATTATGGGGATTTTCTAGATCAACAGAAATAACTGATAAAAGCATTTTAGCCCATGGCTAAAAACTATCAGGCAACAATTATGAAGTGACTAGCAAAATAATAGTTGAAATTATTCTTAAGCTTGTACATATCAAAGACCACTGCTACCAAATTATGAGTTAAAACTACAACCGGTTATCACCCTTCTTTGATTATCATGTCTTTGTTGCTGCCGAGTCACAAAGTTGAAGAAACACAAACCTCACCTACAGATTATTGCATAGCACAATTACAGTTCTTCTGCAGATTCTTACATATCAAGTCATTACACCTTCTTTGAGATTCTATACATTAGCAAGCAGTGGTACATTGCAAGACCTATATATGGGCACAATTCTGAATGAATTAATCTTTGCAATGGCCAATAGTCCCACATAGATATTCATAGTAATTTAGAAATTGCACTAGCACATTTGTTGATCCAAATTTTGCTTTGAGCACCACAAATGACCTGAGGCTGTCCTAACCGCAGAACATCAAATGAAAATATATAGCAAGGACTTGGCTAAGGAAAATGTCATTTACAAAGAAAAAGAAGAATCCCACACCAGCAATGGAAAGCCAAAAAGTACCAACTACCAAGTATCTTCCTCACTAATCAATCTAAACTTCCAGAAGTACTAGATTTCCTCCTATTACATTCATTCATAAAAATACACAGATACATATGTAGACATAACCAATAAGCCTACGCACAAGAAGTCATTACTCCAGAGCTAATTTGGCCTGATTCGAATTAAACTACAGCATTACACGACAAATGAAAGGAAACATAAAACAAAACGAGCTGGCACTCTGCAACCCCAATGCTAAGAATGGAAAACTAAAGAAGACATAAAATGGCACCTGCGAGCACTGCTTGAGATGAGCTACTGATTGGCGTAGTTAACTGTCTTGTGCAAACTTCGCAGGTCGAGATATAAATAACCAGGGGACGCCCAATTTTTTTGAATTAAAATATGCAATTAATCTGATAAATAGCCCCATCTTTCCGTCCTTACCTGTACCCATCATCATAGCCCATCTCTTCCGCAGCTGCAGCTGCATCGACATCAGAAAATATATTAAACGTCAACGCGGTATGGCATCTGACGTCGCACTGTACAGCGGAGTGACGTAGTTAGGTGACGTCACGGATGGCGTCATATCTTAATTAATTAAGAACGGCGGTGGCATAATTCAACTTCGGTGGATGGCCGGCGGCGGCTGGTTTTACACCTCTCGTCGGGAATCGTGTGATTATTTGGTGCCCTAATTTCTAATCTTTTTACTGTACTGTTTTCTGTTTAGTAATTAATGGGTTTGTGTGTAATTTAGTCATAATCGTAATCATCATAGCGGTGTAAAGACTGAGTCGTACATTCGGCTTACGCAGCTCCATGGACTTCAGAGCCTGACGCGATCCCCTCCGTGCCTTACGTGTAAATAACGGTTGCGGATCCATCTGGAATTGCAGTTCCTGGAGCGTCGCAATAATGAAGTATTTTAGTGGATTACCGACGTGATCATGATCTGCAACGTCAGAAGGGTGTTTTACTTACAATTTTCTGCTATTTTATTATTTAATATTTTTTTTATCAAATTAAATATTTATTATATTATAATAAATTTTATTTTATATTTAAAATATTATATAATATATATTTATATTATATTTCATTCGTCCCGATAATTTGTCATCTTTAACTTAGACATAGAATTTTAAATATCATATAATTAATAAGTAATTAAAAAGTTTATTAATAAAAATAATTATAATTTTTTTATGATAATTATAAATTTTAAAATATGATTATAGTGTATAATTATATTTGAAAAGAAAAAAATAAATTATACGAAACAAAAATAGAAATAGTGAATAAATTAAATGAGACGGAGGAAGTATAAAGAATTATTTCAATTCAAAATTCTATTATATAGAATTTAAATCAAACACAGCCTACATGGTGTCACAGCCTGAGACGACCAAAGACTTTGTAGAAAGACTTATTCAAGTTAATCCTACTATACAACGACTTTCTTAGGGGTGTTTTTGTTTGGAATTTGGATTTTAAATTCACTGTTTATCTTATTTTTTTTAAAAAAAATATATAAAATTAAATATTTATTTTTTTATTTTTTATATTATATTAAAAATTAATTTTACATTTAAAACATCACATCAACACTTGTTTATATCACATCATACAACTATATATTAAAAAAAAAAAGGTGTTGCGTTTATGATCAAGTTTTTTTATTTAAATAATATTTTAAATATAGAGTTTTGTAATAAAATAATTTGGGTAGGATTTTTTTTGATTGATTTGAAAAAAAATTGATTTTTTGTATTAAAATAATTTTTGATGACATATTCTATAAAAAATATATATATTTTTTAAAAAAAAAAAAGAGTTCAAATAGCAAAAAATTAATTGTTTCAAACCTTGTTTACATAATATTTTTTTCATTTTATTTTATTTTTAAAAAATAGTATATTCAATATATTTGTCTTATAAAATATTATAATAAATATTAATTTTTAAAATTTGAAAAATCTAAAAATTCTTTTGTTCCAAATTTTATTTTTATAAGTAACAATACGCATTGAAGCGTAAGTAAGTTAAATTTTAGTTGCAAAGGAAACAAACCGGTGGGTTGTTCCTATTGGATTATTTTTAGGTTTAAAAAATATTATTGTTAATTTTTTACAATTTTTTTATTAATAATTTTTTAAAAAATATTAAATAATATATTATATTAAAATTTAATTATATATTAAAAAATTATATTAACATTTATATTATATTAAATAATTATTTTTAAAAATCCAACTCTCTAACTCAAAAACAAATGTATCTTATAAGGTTTGAACATTAAAAAAAACTCAAATTAAACTATATAAAAAAAAAATAAAACAATTATTGTTATGAGAAAACGTCACGTTTCAACATTTATATTATTTTGAAAATAAAAAATATTCCTATTGAAATATATATATATATTTTTTTTTAGTAGAGCTTTTTTAAAAATTACAGTTACTATACCTACAGTTTTAACATCATATGAAATACTCTTTCTTTGTGTTTCATTTGATTTTTGTAATAAAAAATAATATTTTAGTAATAAATAAATTCGTGTAAATAGAAAAATCTAAAATACACATGAATTTAGTGGGGGGTAAAAAGACAAATATATAATGGTATTATTTGTGTAAGACAACCTTAAGTGATAAGAAATTTAGCAAACTTGAAGGAATAACACAAAGTCACAAAACACATATGTTATTATGATTTTTTTAAAAAAAATAAAAATTAAAATAGTGCATGAAGATAAACAAAAAAATAATAATAATAAATAAATCCTAACTAACTCTCTAAGAATTTATATTTAAAAAATAATTTATTTAAATAATAGTTGGTACACATTTATATATGTAAAGACTTTGTGCTCTTGATTTTATTTTAATATAATAATTAATGAGCCAATTGCCTAAAATTTGTCAATTGGCTAATACTCGTCTTTTATTCGATGCAGAGCTCTCAAAAATAATTTTTATTTTAAAAGTATTTATATTTATTTGAATAATAGTTTAAATATCATATTTTATAAGATTAAATAATACATTTAAAATACCATATAATTATGCGATAATTTTTTTTTTTAAAAAAATCCAAAATAGCATAGTTCAAATTCAATATACTATATTCAAAAGGTTTGTTTACTTATTATTTGTTTGTTTTTTTTTTTTTAATTATTATTATTTTAAATTAAAAAATACATTCTTATCTTTTATAAAAATATCGTATCAGAATATTATTCTATCAAAAAATTTAAATTAATATTTTATTTTAAATAAATCTCAGACCATAATCAAACAAATTGTTTCTTTAGGTTACATTTTGAAAATATTTCATTTAAATTTTGCATTTAAATAATATTTGATGGGATACACTCTAAACATTTTGTTTTATATTTTTGTTTTGACATTTAATTGAATAATAATTTAAATATAATGATTTGTAATATACAATAATATATTTTTATAAAAATTGTGAGCAGTTAATAGAAGAAAATTTAAAATCAAACTCTAGTTAACAAAACAAAAATCATTTTGATTTGTTAAAAGATTAGGGTTTGATTTTTTTTAGCATTTCAAAGTAAAATAAATTATTTATCATATACAATTTTCAATAAAAATATATTATTTTTAATTTTAAAATATCACATCAAAATACTATATAAATAAAACTTAAATTATTAGTATTTTATTTTAAATCAATTTCAAGTATATTTTAAGTAGTTTGGACATCATCTTCTACATGTTTTGTTATTTTATTTGGGCTATTTTTTTTTTAAATTTTTGTACATTTATCAAAATTTTGACATTAGTTGCTAATAATAATTTTATTTTGAAATTATTAACTCGTGTAAGAAAATAAAATATATATTTGTAATATTAAATTAATATATATATATATTACTCTCTCCGTACCATATTGGATGTTTTGGTCACTGTGTATTCAGGAATTTAGGATAAATATAATTAATAAATAATTAAGAATATATTAGTGAAAATAATTAATTTATAATATAAATTATTATAGATTAAGATTAAAATAACTAATTAGTTTAATTAAAATTAAAAAAAAATTAAAATTAGAAAATTTAAAATAATATTAAGATGGGTAATCATTTTCTAAAACAAAATGATATGGATATAGCAAATGGCAATGTAAACACAGTAGGTGAGACTGAAAGAATATATTTTATTAATATTCATTGATAATAGTAAAAAATTATTTGATGAACAGTTATTATTATTTTTATTATTATTAAGATTTTCGAACTCTTTACCTATCATGTCTTAAATTTAATGCGGCAGCCTAATAAATACAAATCCGTTCGATTAAACCAAAGCGCACTGGGTGTGTTTGTACGAGGATTTGGATTTTGAGTTGGGATTTGAATAATAAAAATTTTGAATTTGAATAATTATATGATATGATATAATATAAATAGGTGTTGACGTGATATTTTGAACGTAAAATTAATTTTTAATATAATATAAAAAATAAAAAATAGATATTTAATTTGATGTTTTTCAAAGAAAAAAAATACGATAAATAGTGAAAATCCAAACAAATCTCTAAACAAACACACCTATTGACTCGGGTGGTTGACTGCTTAACTTCCAACCCTTTGTCTACGCTACTTTTTGTGGTGTAAATATATATATATATATATATATATAAGAAGAAATAATAACTGAATATTGAAAAATAGAGAATGAAAATGCAATAGGACAAACTCTTTATTATTATTATTATTATTATTATTATTATTATTATTATTCTCGCTGAACTAAAATTACATTAACTATTAGATTAATCAAGATGTGTAATTGTAAATTTATATAAGCAATGAACTTTTACTCTTTTCGAGTTCAATTATAATTACAATAATAAATATCTTGATGGAAATCAATACTTACCAGCTGTATTCAATCAATATTTCAATGAATTTTTTTTAATTTAAAAAAATCTATTTTGTAGATTTAGAAAATCTACGGATTTGATGGATTTTAATAATTAATTTACATAAATTTTTACTGATTTGATTGAATTATTTATGAATTTATATGAATATCGTGGGATTGTAGAAAAATCTTTTTATGAATATAAATAATTATATAAATTTATATCAAATACAAATTTTATAAATATAATATATTTATAATTGAAGTTACTTATATATTATTAAAACAAAAGTTTTATAAATGTAAGTATATTTATAATTAAAGTTATTATATATTGATATATTTTTTATAAAATAAAATTTAATATTAATTATTAATAACGTAGAAGCATTATAACATAGGTAATATTATTATATTGTATATTAATATTTTAAATTTTATAATTTTAGTATTATATTATCATTTAATATATCAAATTAATTATATATTTTTTTATTAGTTATTATTATTTATATAATTTTTTTACATATAAAATAAATACGTACATAAATAAAATATTAATAATAATTTACGA